TACATCAAGGTAAAACAGATGATAACATGAAATAAATTAAGAAAAAGAAAAGTGATCTTTTAACTACAACCTAGTATTTTGGTCTTAATGTGACCATTTTATATCGGTCAATGTGAATAATTTTTATAATATTTGTTCATAATTTTAGTTCGTAAATTTAGAATCATAATCGTAAATAAAGACTCAAAACCTAAAAATAACCCCACATTTTCTAAAGTCATTTGGAGTGAAATGCTTTCATAGAAATTGTACTTAAAAGGTCATTTAAACACTTTATTTGATTTATTGGTATGAAATATTTATAACCATGTAAGCTAAATTCAAAAAAAAAAACAGAATGACAAGCAATTATAATATAGCAAAGCAAAATCAAGATAAATAATACTTTTTAATATTTACTCTAAATTTAATTAAATTTGGGATGACATTCAATACTTACTACACTAAATGAATATCTGATCGTTAATTTACAATTCAAACAGCCCATCTATTATACATTTGCTGTCAATGAACTTTGCATTACATGGAAGTCAGGTCTCATGTGGTTTACGATACTATCTAATAAATGGAAGAGAAAAGTTATTTTATACAATGACAGACAAATTTTTAAAATCTAATTAATATTAATCAAAAGTTAACACAAAAACACAACATAGTCGCTCTGTTCAGCAAAAGTTTTCCACAAAATTTCGCTGAACACACACGGCTTATGATATTCATCATTCGCGCATGCAGAACATTTCACTGCACGGGTCAATTAATTTGAATTAATATGCGTACATAATGATTTTTGGAATAATTTGCTAAGCTTTTGATGTATTTTTAAATTATATTCTCGGTGATCAAAGGTTTAGTCGGAAATCAAACCCCGATCACGTCACAGATAAAACTGAGAGCATTTAATTTTATTGCGTTTGAATACAACATTCAAATAAAAGCGAGTGAGCTATTATTTACAAGATCGCATTCTTTTATGAATTTGTTAGTGATTACGCAATTCACGTAACGTATACGTAGCAAGAAAAACCGCAGATGGGTCAGACCACCATGGCTGACAATTGATTTATTTATGAGGATTTTTCTGCTGTGTGCAGTATAAAATATGTAGTGAGACAGCTCTCTGCCATTGTGTCCTGAAAGGATAGAATATGTATAACCTATATGGAAGGATATTTCTGAATTGCTTTATATATTGACAGGACACAAATATATATATATATATATATATATATATATATATGTTTGAGGATATGTCTAGCTGGTTAAACATCTTTTTCTCTCTACTCTCAAATATTGTTGTTAAACAATGTTTAACTTTACTGGTTTTTGACACATCGGTGGTGTATCTTTTTAACCCCGGACCTTTATATATTACCATCTATTTTTCGATAAATTCTGGGAAATTATAACTGGGAAAATGTTATTCGATAGAATGTCCTTTTAATCGATACCAAATTTAGATTCTGAATTGAAATAACATAAATAAAAAATAATATAACCTAGAAAATGTTTTATAAATACCAATGAGTATATAATTATACAAATGAGATCTTTCAGAACACAGTGTTTGAGAAAAATATGACTTGCAAAAAGAGTGCTACAACGCCAAAAAGTTTATTTTCATATTAATACTTCAAAAAAGTTGATATTTTGAGTTTCTAGTAACACTTGCGATCCGTTTAATAACGTTTTTGTGTATAAATATAACTACGAACAAAACTACTTACTACAATTTAATAATAATGAAATAATATTCACGTAAAACATCCTATAAAACGTAATTGAACGTTTGACATTTGACGTTTTAGCCACCGTCCCATTGTTTTTATTAAATTACGCTTCTACAAAAATGTTCAAATTAAAAATGTAAGGTTTCTACACGATTTTGAAATAATATCTCAACTCTCCGACAATTTTTGGATTGGCACGAATTTTTCAAGACTAAGACTGGCCAAATCGGTTTAGCCGTTTTCGAGTTTTAGCGTATCATTTTATCGAGAGCTCCATTTTTATATATAAGATATAATATTTGTGTATACTAATCGCAGCAATTACTGATAATTCATAACTATGAGTTACGAATAAACTATGATTATAGAGAATAATTATAGTTAATCTATATATCCATTAGTCAAGCTTTTCTTTTAGCTGCTAGAATCATTAACTTAAGATAAATGTGCTTCTTATATTCAATTCCACTTTCGTTAGTCTTATGGCCGGTGAGGATTATGGACTATTTACTTGGGAAAATTTATGTTTAGAATAAAACTTGTTTCAAGCGACTGAAGTGACATAAATGATTATCGATTACCTTTCCAAATGTATTTCTGCTATTTATTTTATGTTTATTTCAAGGTATTATTACTATATAAGTTCTTATATATATATATATATATATATATATATATATATATATATATGTATATATATACTCTTATATACAAACACCTTTCATGCGTGTTAATTTTATGATTCACTGAATGTTTAATAAAATTAATGCTTATTAAAACAGTGGTCGGTGTTTGTATTTTAACTAATTGTTTTATTTTTTCATGATAGTTAAAGAAAATACGAACAAAATGATATATATGGGCGACAACGTTTCCGCAACTTTGTAACGTAAGGAAGCAATAATCACAATCATGCCAGATGTCGGGCGTCATTGTCACAGTCTTGCGACAGTTATCATTTTGAACGAGTTTTGCACTTTAAATAGTTTATTTTGAGGGTGTTTTTCTCATGTTTTTTATAGACCTATTTATTGATATTTGTTATTATTTCAATTAAAATCAATTACCTAATGGCGGCGATTTATGATTTCGATCAATTTTTTTGCAATAATTAGGGGTCAAGTGGAATTCTCATTAATTACTCACTGTTATTTAATTTTGGACAAAAGAACATACTCATACAATGGACAATACTATTCCGCAAGCATTGCAGGGCCAAAAATGAATAAAACCTGTCAAAGAAAATTGGCTTCTAACTTTTACTCTAAGTATGCAAGAAATAATTGCATTTTAAAATATCCACCTGTGTAAAGAAGAAACTTGCATTTATTGCAAAATTCTTTTTTTTTGTTCTGAGCCCGGTGAAGATTGGTTTCTCTATATATTACTTGTACCCAACGGTGAACATTTGAACTAATTGGGATTAAAATGTACTAGTAAAAATAATGTCATTTTCAGGTCTTTATTTCTTTACTCTAAAGTATTTAACTATTTTGCAATCATGATTAAATGCGCCAACTTTAGATGGATCTTGCCAACACAATTTAGTACAATTTTCTACAGAAGGGCCTCTCAAAGTCGACTGATTTTAGAAATTTTAAATTCATTGTTCAAAAATAGCGTTACTTCTGAAAAACTTAAAACATTGTGTTATTGTTTTTTATTATCGTCCTAAAAATGTTATTTACTGTTACGGTTTCAAAGTTTGAATGAACAAAATTAGTAAAAATTGACCACAATAACCAAAGAATGGTCATAATTACACAAAAGCTCAAGGTTGCACTTAAAACCTTATAATTTCCAAACAACGTAGCATAATTAACTTTCCGTAGAGCAAGTTATAGTAATTGCAAAAAAATCGAAAATGAAAATTTTTATATATCTTTACGTGTCAGATATTTTTGAATATTTTGGCATACCTTAGAAAAAAATGGATGGTTGTGTGTTGTGTGAATGTGTGTGTGTGCATGTGTGTGTGTGTGCGGATACAAATTTTCGTCGACGATTTCGGGAACACCGATCAACCGATTTAAATAATTCAAAAAACATGCGATTTATACTGATAAGGAGACGTGCTGATTAGTTTTTGGCGGAGGCAGGTCTAGCCGTTCCGAAGATACGGGGCAAAAAGTGCCAAAAACGGTAACACGGTTTTTAAGAGAACGGAGCGTCTGATTTTGAAACATTTTACTTGTATTAACAAGATGAAGAACTGATCAAATTTTCATGAAGGCAGGTCTAGCGGTTTCGGAGATCTAATTAAAAAAAGTAAAAAAAGCCATTTGGCGGTCAAAAATGATCATTAGACATATGCACATCAAATTATTAGATATTTTATAGAGATTTTAACAATAAGTATAAATTTTGTTTACATTCCTATGGGTTCCGTACCAATGTTTATCCGTTAGACGGCAACGCGGCGCTTACGCGCTTTGATATTTCTTCTCTATGCAGTAAAAGCAGTACGATTGCTTTGAAAAAAATTCAAAATTTCCAAAACATTTCAAAATAAATTTTTCTTCAAAAAGTCTTTTTTTTTCAAAAAAAGTAAATTTTTGTCAAAAATGTATAGTTTCTCAAAAATTTAATTTTTTTCAAAAATGTTAATCTTTTTTAAAAAAAAATTGGTACGGGAGGTTCTAGCAATTTGCCTTAAGGCACGATTCCATGCGCCCCACTAGTTTTTTTTACTAATTATTTCAGAACAGTTAAGGTTAATACTATCACCCCGTTTCGGCTTAAGGTCAAGGTCCGGGACACCCCGAATATAGTCACAATAGCAGAAAATTTATTTAGTTAATATAAAACTATACTTACTAAAGATGTAATTAATATATTAAATCGTCTGTAAAAATATGAATGAACCATAGTGCAAAGTATTATAATTATTACTTTATCTATATATAGATATGAAATGTCAAATATAAAAGTCAAGGTTAATTGACTAGATCAACCTAAATTAAAGTGTTTAGAAAATGACGAGCCATTAGAATTATGTGAAGATAAAACCAAGATATAATAATTTCTTTTAACCTTTTTCACTCGCACATTGTTTATTTTACACGTATTTTAACACATACGATAGGGTTAAGTTTTTCATATATTTAATTACATTTCTGAGAGTAGTGTATATAGATTGACCACCTGTCATTAGTTTAATTTTGTACAATATTGACTACTGCTTTAACAAAAAAGTTAATTATACGACCATCTGATCTTCCCGTACCTTTGTCAGCCATTCGACTATATGTTTGCATATTTCTTTTCCAGGTACGGTCGTTGGATAACGAGACGCATAGCGGTGGCCACAATCGTAGTAATCTGGTTGCTGGCCGCCTTCGTATCCTTCGTGCCCATATCTTTGGGTCTGCACCGCCCGCCTGAGGCCACGGTTGTCTACATCGGCAATGACCGCAACCTGCCGACCTGCGCGCTCGATCTCACGCCGACCTACGCCGTTGTTTCCAGTTGCATCAGCTTCTACGTTCCCTGCATAGTAATGATAGGTGAGTGGGAAACAAATTACATCATTTGTATGTGGTGTGCAGGAAAGGTTCATAATTACAAATTACAAATACGATACATTTATTCTAATGCGTACCAAAGAAGGGTCAATCAATTGCTTTCTATTATTTATCGAAGCCCAGTCTCTTAGAAAAATCTGCAAGTTGGGAAAAGTCGCGAAATTTGTTAACAGATCAGCAGAAATTTTTCATTTTTAACTTCCCGTAGGGCAAGCGGCAAGTTATAGTAATCGCAAAAAAATCAAAAATGAAAATTTTTATATATCTTCACGTTTCAGAGGTTTCTGAACATTTTCGCATACCTTAGGAAAAATGGATGTATGTGTGTGTGTGTTCGGATACAAATTTTCGTCGACGATTTCGAGAACACGGATGAAGCGATTTGAATAATGCAAAAAACATTCGATTTGCATTGATAAGGAGACGTGCTGATTAGTTTTTGGCAAAGGCAGGTCTAGCCGTTCTGAAGATACGGAGCAAAATGTGCCAAAAACAGTAACTCAGTTTTTCAGAGAACGGTCCGATTTGAGTAATTCAAAAAACATTTTATTTGTATTAACTTAGTGAATAACTGTTCAAATTTTTGAAAAGGCAGGTGTAACGACTTCGGAGATATGGAGGAAAAAGTAAAAAAATGAGCCATTTGGCAGTCAAAAATAAACATTAGGCATATGCACATCAAATAAATAGATATTTTATAGAGATTTTAACAATAAGTATAAATTTTGTTTACTTTCCTATGGGTTCCGTACCAATGTTTACGCGTTAGACGGCAACGCGGCGCTTACGCGCTTCGATATTTCGTCTTTATGCAGTTAAAGCCGTACGATTGCTTTGCAAAAAAGTTCAGAATTTCCAAAATATTTAAAAATAAATGATTTAAGATAGAATGATTTAAGATGATTCAATATGGTTCGAAATTCTGTTAAAAGTTTCAAATTATTGATCATTATTGATCATTTTTAATTACTCGAATTTTGAATTGCGGTACGGGTAGGGACACGGTATCGAATAGAAAGTATCGATACTTTTTTCGTGTCGCTACATGCAACATACAACACACACATTTCTATTTGATACCGTGTCCCTAGGTACGGGAAGTTCCAGCAATTTGCCTCAAGGCACGATGCCTCAATTGCCTTAAGACAGAATTCCACTTACAGCTAGTTTACTCTTCAACTGAAATTCTTAACTACGTCGTTTTCCACGGTAAAATATATTATGATAATAAAATCTTTGGATTTTAGGTATAAAGTATTTTCTTAGATACTTTTAGAAATGGATTTTAGTGAAATAGATAAAATCAAATTAATGTTAGGCAATAATATATAGGTAAGGTAGGGCGAGCCACAAAGATCCAATTTGATTTTTAACTATTATACTGTCAAAACCAAAGCAACTACATCAAAACAAATGACACATACAGTGGCGTACCTAGAACTTTTGCCGCCCGGGGCGCTCTCCAGATTGCCGCCCTTTCAATTATAAGTCAGTCAAATAGTAGTTTTCATAAATTAATACAAATAAACTAGTGGTGCATGGCATCGTGCCTTAAGGCAAATTGCTGGCACTTCTCGTACCGAAACATAAAATTTTTAAAAAAGATTAAAAATTTTTTGAAATCTGAAAAAAATATATTTTTGAGAATTTCGAAAATTTTGAAAAAAATGGCTTTTTTGAATTTTTTTTTTTATATTTTGAAATATTTTGAAAATTTGTAACTTTTTTTCAAATCAATCGCGCTGCGCAGCTGTTTTGGAGACGAAATATCGAAGCGAAACGGCTAGACATTGATACGGAACCCATAGAAATGTAAATTAAATTTGTTCTTATTATTAAAATCTCTAGAAATTATCAGATAATTTGACTATTGATTAATATCTAATGATCATTTTGGACCGCCAAATATGTCATTTTTTCACTTTTTCTTATTGATTCTCCATAATCGCTAGACCTCTAGACCTGTCATCCCAAAAACAGTTCTTTGTTTAGTCAATACAAATAAAATGTTTTTTGAATTACTTAAAACGGACGCTTCGTTCTCTCAAGAACTAAATTACAATTTTTGGCTTTTTTGCCCCGTATCTTTGGAACGGCTGGACCCGTTTTGCCAAAAACTAATTAGCACGTTTTATCAGTACGAATCGAATGTTTTGTTCAAATAGGTTGATGCGTGTTCCTACAATCATCGATAAAAGTTTGTATCTAAACACACACACACATCCATTTTTTCTAAGATATGCCAAAATTCAGTAACCTCTGAAACGTAAAGATATATAAAAATTTTCACTTTCGACATTTTTGCGATTACTATATATAACTTACCCTACGGAAGTTAAAAAATTATTAAGTTATTTAATCAATATTAATTAATACACAGAGTAATTTTTTTCAGACATATTTATATGCACTCGTCAACATATTTATATAATGCCCTAATGTTTAGCAGACCCCGCCTTCCACCAGCCCTGATTTTCAAAAGAAAAATTGATGATTCAAAAAAATATTGATAAATCACTTCAAAGTAATCATATAAACTTTTTAAAAGAAATGACATTTATAAGCTAATATAAAAAAATAGAAAAAATCGCTAACAAAATCGTAAAGATGCTTATACGAATTCAACGAATTTTAATGAATACAATAAAATAAAATTATTAACCTGTTCTTAGATTAGAATCCAAAATTTACACTAATATACATTTATATATACCGAGGAATAAAATTCTAAATCATATGGTTAATCATAATTTATATAAATCAAATATTGTCAATAATAACAATCATAATGATCATTTATAATTCAAGACAGAAAACTAGTTGGTACTGGTATTTTGCCTTGAGGCAAGTTACATGGACTTCCCGAAATGTGTAAATAATCGACTTAATCAATAAAAAATAAATTAATTTATGAGTGATTAAAAGTATTCCGAGTGGATTTATTACACATAATTGAAAATGAACGAACACTTTAACTCGGAGAATTTTGTAAAAGCAAATTTTCAAAAATCAATAATTTTAATTAATCAATAATTATAATTGAACCAGTTTCCGCAGGACTTTAATGGTTTACTATGTTCAAGACTAAGTACACTATCGTTATACCAACTAAATCATCTAATTTTATTTTTAACAAACGTCAAAAAAACATTTTTTTTAACCTTGATAATTTTTTAAAATTAAACTACTTGTCGTAAGGCCGTAATAATTCAGTAAGTTCTATAAGGCAATGATATACATCACCAAAGAAAGTTTCATAAAAATCGGCTTAAATTTTTTTTTCAACAATTAATTACAAGAAAACGGCTCGGTAGATTTTCACCTAAAACTGATCAGTATCAATCCCAACTAATATCTTTCGAACAGTTTTTAATTTTTTAAAATCGGTTCGATAGTATGAGCTTAAATGTGGACGAAAGGTTTAACACTTCTTTCCAAATTACAAAGAAACGGCTCGGCCGATCGTCGCACAAAACTGAGAACGATATGCCTCATCGAGATATATCAAATGGCTTTTAAATTTCTGAAATCGGTTCAGGCTTTTTAAAAAAAACGTCGATCAAAGGTCTAATTTTGACAAATGCTAATAAAAAAGACCATACTAATTTTTGCAAACTTTGACGAATTTTTAAAGCTAAACCAGTTGTCGTAGGACCGTAATATTTTAGTATGATCTAGATTCTAGATCATACTAAAATATTACGGAAGATAGTCTTCTAGATTCTAGAATTAATCATAAAAATAGTAGAATTTTTTTTTTCAAAAACTTTATTAAGAAAACGGCCTGGCCAAACTCTACCAAAAACTAATCAGCACGAGTCCCAACTAATATTTTTCGAACGGTTTTTGAATTTTCAGAATCAATTCAGAATTGCAGGCTAAAACGTAGACGAAAAATTTTTCACTTTTCTGCGATTTATAAAGAAACAGCTTGGCCGATCGTCGCACAAAACTGACAAATAATAGTCCTCAGCGAGATACATCGAGTGGCTTTTAAATTTTTAGCCGTTTTTGCCGTTTTTGAGAAAACGACGATTTACGACAAAAAATCTGTTCATATACACACACTTACTTTTTCCAAATTTGGGCTCATTCGATTCAGAATGGCTTGAAACGTCGAGAAAACATAAAATTAGCGATTCGGATTTTTTGATGAAAACATAAACTTCTCCTTGGGGAAGTTAACTAGTGGTGTATGTGTATGGCATTGTAAGTTAAGGCAAATTGCTGGAACTTTCCGTACTGTAATGATATATTCGAGCAAAATTAAATGTTTTCACATATATAATTATAAATACTGTAACTTATATATGTTTACAAAAAAGTAAATAAACAAAACTCAATCAATCAAATTTGAAATAAAGGGCATTGTCTAATATTTATAAGAAATATATAAACTGAATTACAAAGTTAAAATTATTTGTTTCAAGTATATAAGTGAGCATTTGAACTTTAGGTAGAGTTCAAATTAAAATCCACGTAGAAAGCTTTTTGAATCATTCAAATCGGATGCTTAGTTCTTTCAAAAACAGATATTTTTTGCACATTTTGCTTGGTATCTCTGCCTTTGCCAAAAACTAATCGCCACTTCTCCTCATCATTACAAATTGAAGTTTTTTGCATCAATCAAATCGGATGTTTCATTCTCTCAAAAACTGGATTTCTATTTTCTGTACTTCCACTTCCATTTTTTCTGAGGTATGCCAAAATGTTCAGAAACCTTCAAAACGTGAAGAAATATAAAAAATTTCATTTTCGATTTTCGGTCCATTACTATAACTTACCCTATGGATATTGCATTTTAGGCAAGCAAATGGTCTATTGCAGTATTTTTTGGTGTGATTAAAGAGTTGACAGCGAGTGCATTGTATAATGTTGTTGGACTTTCTCGGTGGTTCGACGCGTATTATGCAGTTGAATAATTTATAAATGTTATAAATATTTTTGTTATTTCTATTTGGTTCCAGATCAACAAAAAACAT